GGAGTCACAGTGTGAAATTAATTGCTCGCTGATAGGACATCAGCACAGTGCCCGAGGCCTTTAGTCAACTTTTCTCTCACTGTGGATGCACATCAGCAGCTCAGATGTACCTGCGACTGTCTAATTTCAATATTTCCAATATGCAGAGGGAATCAAGAGTGAAATCGTATTCATAAACAATCCCCTGACACTAGATGTAATCTTGTCCAGTACTTATGTGATAAAAATTGGGAAATAAATCGTCTCGCGCGGCTCGTCTTTGTACACCCACCTTCTATGAGTTCATACATTTTAAATGGGAGTGAGAGGCAATGAATTTGTCACCAATTAAAGCACAGATCACAGAATTACTCAGTAATTACCGGCTCAGCTGAATGAATGCTGGCCAGTTCAAATACGTGCCTGTAGAGATTTACATTAAAGTTCCACCGAATGAGTTTACTCAGCCGAGACTCGATTCTCACACTTATTAAGTGCTTATGGCATTAATCTGTCTTTGTCCAATCAGAAGTCACGTTTCTATACGATACCGAGCCACAGTGAAAAGCACTCATCAGTCAGTGATATCAGTGAACGGCTCCCATTAGTGAGCACGCCATGCTGAGACGGAGCTATGCGGAGCATTTAACCCAGAAACCACTTTCAAATATAATCAAAGCTTTTCTTTGGATACGCAGGAAACACATTATGGGGATATCTGCTGAAAATGAGGAATGGAAATCAGGGGATCCTGCAGCTTATTACTAAACTGCACGTCCTAATCGCACAACACGAGGCTGCCTGTCTGTCAGCTGAAGTTTTGACACAGTTCTCTTCCCAGAGTCACAGATCGATTGCTCTCAAAGATTGTCGTTTCTACGTGTAATTGATCCAACTGTTACCTCCTTAAAATCCCATTTCTTTTATTTCTGTACTGTGAACACTAGTTTTCATTACTTTGAATGATTTCTGTGGCTCTGCAGACTGATTACTCACTGAAAATTCAGAAAGCCCGGTGCACTCTGCAGGGAACTCTAGGAACCACGAATAAACAGAATTTTCTGCTCAAAGATTTTCAGAGGATAAACAGGCCCAGAGCACACAAATTAATTCTCTTTAATTCTTCTCTAATTATGCACAATTAAAGGCTGTGAATTAATCAGTGAGCTTAATCGGCTTGCTGTCTTTGAGCTGAAATGCACCTGATTTAGAAGCTGCTGGAAGATTCTCAG